CATAAGAATTAATTGCTAATATATAAATTTAAATTTTCATTAAAATTTTTAGATACATGAATAGGAATAAATTTATCTATAATAACTCTATATTTATGTATATTAATTGAGAATTTATTACACGAAAATTGGGAGGATTTGATAAATCTCAAACAAACAAAAGAAAATAAAATTTAAGAAAAATTGCAGTAGCGGTCTCTAACCTTCTCATTTTGTGCAGATTTACCCTAATATTTTATTTTGTACCAGTGAAGGTCCTTAATATTTCATAAATATGCACTTGAGGTCCATTTGGACGGAAACCGTCTAAAACACTGTTAATTGACCGGGAAAATTCCTTGAATTATTTGTTATCGCGAAGATTTTATTGGATGTTGATCCTAAATTTTCTAAGTCAACTGGCCGTGTTTGGACGGTTTCCATCCAGACGAACCTCAGGTGCGTATTTATGAAAGTTTAGGAATCTCCGCTGATACAAAATAAAGGTTAGGTAAAATCTGCAAAAAAGTGAAAAGACTAAGGACCACTACTAGAATTTTCCCTAAAATTTAAGGTAGAAATTCAAGAGCGTACTCTCAAAATTCAATTTTTTTACAATGATGAATTATTACGAATGGGCAACATTTTTATACTACATTTGATACATAAAAAGTAATTGCTAATACATGAATTTAAACACCTATTAACATTTTTAGATACATGAATAGAAATAAATTCATTTATAATAACTCGAAATTCATCAAGATTTATTGATTCTAGATTAATATGAATGTTAATTAATTAAACATTAATAACAAGAAATTCATATATGATAAGGATTTTATAATATTTATTACATATTGAAAAATGAAAAGTAATGTACTAATGAAATATTGAATTTTAGTAGGGTTAAAATCGTCAAAAAAATAATTATCACTTGATGTGATATTTAACTCATATTTGGTACCGATTAAAATTTAGATTTTAATCTAAGTTAAAGTCAACGCTTCATTTCAGCTGTATATTTAATGTGTTTCACAATTTTTCAACTGAATATTTCATCAACTTTTATCAAAATTTACTAAAAGTCTAATTTTAATCCACGGCAAATATGGGCTAAATATATCATAGATAACTAATTTAAAAATAATAAAATGGAATTCATACATGACAATTATTTATAGTATTTATTACATATTAAAAAACATAAAATATTATTGAAATAATTGAATCATAATAGGATTCATATATGACAATTATTTTGTAATATTCATTACATATTGAACCACAAAAATTGGGCTATTATGAAAATAATTGTATTGTAGTATGATTTTGTTGGATATTGGTTAAATAAATTGAGAATTGAAAATCGATTAAAGTTCGTATCGAATTTGGCCAAATACTCAAAAGCTCGACTCAATCCGTTTAGGCAAAATTGTTTGCCACTTCGCCGCTTCGGGGCGCACAAACGGGGATCGACCTGCTCGGTCAGGTCGCGAGGGTCGAGGGGGCAGCGCCCCTCGTGGGGGGTTGGGGGCAACGCCCCCGAAAGAGAATTTTGATTTCTCTGCATGTATTGAAGGGTATATTTGGCATTTCGAAAACCAATATCGGATGAATGAGAAATTACGAAAAAGACCTCAACCATTAGTGAATAGACACCTTTTCATAAAGGTGCATTGTTTGGAAAGGGTGCATGGTTTGGCCTCAACCATTTCGTCCACACCCCTTCATGGTCTATAAATAGGACCCTTTGGGTGTCCTATTCCTCACAGTTTGATATGCAAAAACGTCTCTCATCCTCTCTTCTATCCAAAATCAAAATCATTTCATTTATTTTGATTTTCTTTCATTTCATCTGTGGAGTACATAAGCCTACATTGGGTTCGTTGTACTTGTGTTTTGGAGTGCTACAAACACAAGTGTAGCCGCTGTATCTTGGGAGTCGATTGTCGAAATCCGTAGGCACCGTTGCGGGGCAAATTCGACTTAAGGACAAAGAGTCCAACTCTTGCCTCGGCTTTATCACCATCATTATACTTATTTCGGCGTCACTATTCACAAAATTCTTCCAACAGATTAAAATCGTTCAAATAATGATTTCACTTGATGTGATATTTAATCTTTGTTCGATCCCTATTATTTTCAAAATATATTTCCGTGTCTCTTATTTTCAATCACATATTTTTTAATAAAATAATATTACACGAAAATTTAAAATATTTTCTTATTTTTTAACCATGTATTCTCATTAATCTACAATTCTAAAATGCATTATTAGCCAAAAGTGAGGCTCAAACAAGCTCTTAATATATTATAAATATACATGAGTTAAAAATATAAAATGAAAAAAAATTAAATTAAAGTGGATACATATTATATAAGAATGATGGATGAAGATCACGACTTCTTACTTTTTTTTCTATTGAATAAAAAAAAAAATCGATTAACTTTTTGGCAGAGCTCTATCATTAAAAGTCTCTACTCATAATAGTCGCATCAAATGGACCCTTGAGGTAGACGTGAGTAGATGTTACTCGATATTTTCATCAGAAATCAAATAGCATAGGAGTCCATACTTATTAATCAAATCACTTTGTGAGACTCCAAATCCTACTTTTAATCAAATCAATTTAATTACGTGAGTAGGTAATGGTGCCACCAATGTATTGAAATATTGAAGAGGACAATCGACAGCCTGTAGTGGGTCCAATTATACACGATAACATATGTTGCACGCTATTCTCAAGGAACCAGTCAATTACCAAAAACTCTTTTTATTAGTGTAAAGTAATTTTAATTGACAAAATATTTTTAAGTTCTGAATTATATTTATCATCAAATATTATAAGATCAAGTTTCATTAAAATAACATTGACCCACCTAACGATGATTGTAAGCAACTAAAAATGTCATGAAACTCAAAATATTTGAATCGAATGGACATTTGATAGGTTGGCGTAATAACGTAATAGATACGTTAAAATGAAATCTATTTTCTAATTGTGTACTCATTTATTGACTTGATGGGATCTTAACAATATTTTTAATATATAGAAGAGGGCGAAAATAAAATAAAAAAAGATTTTTCCTTATTCGATTGAATAAAAAGAAACTCTCCCGTCTCTTTTTGTCGGGCTCCACTCTATGTGGGTATCTAAGTCGTCTCGCTTCTCCCTAAAGAGCGGAAGATTGGAAGCTCCTTTCTTAGATAAAAGCTTGATTTCAGTCGGTTGTCAATGCATTCATTGATCAAATTGTTATAATCTTCTACGTTTCCAGGAAGACAAACTTAGAAAATGATGTTACAAATTGCGGCCTATAACATGAACGGTTTCATCTCAACTATCTACATCAAAACTACCAACTTGAATCTGGGTTTTGTCTAATATCTAAATCCGTTTGAAAATCATGGTTATTGGTTTCCTACATTACAAATTCCATGTATCTAACTTCACTTGCTGCTCTCATCAGTTCAACTTCACAAAAAGGCTGGCTTAAGGATGTAATCCAGTTTCTTCGAGGGACAAACAGAGTTGAGTTTCTCTGGATCGTAGATGGTTCGAGGAAAGTCGGAGACGAGGTTGTAACTCTCGACTTCTAAGCAACCCAAAGAACGAAAATAATCGTAAACAGATTGTGTTGTGGCTGTACAATAAAACCTCCTCCCCCTGCGTTCTCCATTTGGAAAAAGAACCAAAGCCTGAGATTATAACCATGGATTGGATAGGTAATAATGCTAAAATAATTAGGTTACAAAATTGTTCGAGATATCTCCCTTCTATTTGCTTAAAACATTCACATTAGCTGAATATAACACAAAGTTATGGATGAAAATACCAACAAAATTACGCCATAATATTGAATATCTGATGAATTACAATGAAATTTCTCATTCTCAATTATTTACAGTTATTAATTAACAGGTTTTTCGTCAAAATAATAATAATAATAACAACAACAACAAGAAGCAAAGGTGTTCAAAATACATTTACACTGACAGAAGTGTCCAGCTGCTGCATTAAGAAGAAATAACCACATGTTAATTGGAGAGCTTTAAGCAAACTTTTCAGAATGAAGGAACAGAAACTCAATACATCAACTAACTGCAAGAAATCACGAATTCTTAGCAAACACATCCAAACTTCAGTAAGATCACGAGAACTAAGATGTCACAACTGAATTATGTCCCAAATAAACAAGAATATGTTAAATATAAATAGGTTAAATGCCTCCTAAGTAAATTTATATTATACAAACACAACTGAGAAATTTGAGAGATGCTCAAAAATTATTATGAAAAGTTACCCCATATGTTATCTTCAATAGCTCTGTTATACATTAATGGAAATTTACCTGTACCTAGTAAACTTAACTATATCTCCCCAAAAAATTTTACAGGTGACTTGACAGTAATCTAAACCTTTAAAACAATAAAGAAAATAAATTCTGAAATTTAAACGAAAGGATCAGGCAGGTATTCTTTAAAAAAAAAAAAAAAAAGAAGAAGGTTGAACCCCAACCTTGAGGGCCCCACCGCCTCGCCCCTAGAATTTTGTGAGGGAGTTAAATCGTGGGATATACCCCAGCAAGTCAGGGAACAAAAGCTACATGTACACTGCGCCTACAAGGAGTCCAATTCCATGTCTTAGGAATCGAACCCCCACACTGCGACTGTCAGCAAAACGTAAAATAACCTCACTCATATATCCGATGTTGGGGAAGTATAGAAGAGTAAAATCACCGAGTACCTAAAGCAAAAATAAATTGAAAAAGAAGCCAAGAAAGATCCCAATAAAAAAAAGAAGTCATTTTTCCATTACTAATGGCATGACACAGTACACTGTTACTAATGTACTTCTTCCTTCAACGAACAAGTGGAACTTAAAATAAGTATGTCATAATATTCCATAGCTTATTTACTTGTAAGTAAACCATTTAAGCTTATCAAATCACGCTCCTGGTTTATGTGTTTTAGAAGCATCCGAAATGCAATTGGTGTAACTCATCACATCACAAACAAAAGAAAAAGGAAAAAAGCTCAACTTTCATACCTAACTTCACACCTGTCTCTGGAATAATAAAAAAAATCCATAAACTTAATTTTCAGGGATAAATAACTGCCGGCTGATTAGACAATGGATACAACATAATTACAGATTCTCAGTATATAGAGATCCAGCACTTTTTGAGAAGGGTGACCTGTACAAAGCTCCTTTAGTTGGCTGGGGATTCTTTCGCAGTGGCTGTAATTTCCACTAGCATTGTATGATATTTCCATTATATGGAACAGGCAAGTAAAGATTCTTCGGCAACAAATGGAAAAGTACAGTGAAAGGATACTAGAGAGGAAGCTATTCACTATATCTCCTTAATCAAAGGCTTGCCTGTTCTTTCCACTTTCTCTGTTCTCACAGCACCTCTTTTACTAACCACACATTCCACAGCTGATGATTTCTCTTTATTCACTAGCGCAGCCAAGGAAAGCCACACTTCAGCCGGCTGCTCGTGAACCCAACACATTATGAAGTAAACCTTCCGCTCAGCAGATTTAAGCTTGTTCTTGATTTCCACCCTTTTTGACTTTTGCAGTTTCTCCGACTTCAGCTCTTTCTCAGCTGCCAGAATCAGCCTCTGTGTATCACAAAGCAAGCAAACTAAAGCTGCACCTCCTAGATTAAGTAGGCTAATTACATCATCGAGGAGCCCCAATCCGAATTGCAAGCCACCCATATGCCTGTATGAAGAAGATGAAGTTTGCTCCAAGCAATGCAACAAAGCTTCCAACACTGTCCCAGGTTGCCCACCTTTACCCAGGACAGAAGATACACTAAGCAATACCATCGTAGATTCTTGCGCATCTGATTGCCAGTCCCCATTGTACAGTCGAAGTGTAAAACAGTAACTGTAAATAATGTCAATGAGATGAACAGCTAATAGAGGGGATGGACCAGCAGTACTAAGCCTGCTAATTGGTGGTAGTGGAGTTCCAGGGCCGGGTGGAATGTCATGGAACTGATTGCCTTCCATATAATTTTCTGATGATTCCACAGAATCTTGCTGAACAAGTGGTTGTACAAGGCTAGCTCCATCTTGGCTGAGTGATATGTATTTAGCAGAAGGCTTCAGCCACCATGGATCCCATGGCTTAATCAACTTGCTGAGCTCTCCCGAGGCTACAGCTCTCTGGAAATGCTTCCTCTCCTCAGCAGACAAATCATCAATGCTTATCTGGTTTCCTAAGATAAAGCGAAATAACACTTAGATCAGTTCAAAAGAGCAAACAAAACAGTGTTATAAGCAAGAACTGAAAGAGAAGATTAGCGCATACCAGACATAATCTTCTGAATAGTCTCCTCTGACAGAAATGAATCTGAAATTGAAATAATTGGCCAAATTAGCAGGTGATGGGGGAATAACAGCTAGAGGATTCATAACTTGGAAAAAAGAACAAAGCAGGAAAGTTTATACAAAGCATACACAATAACATGTATGCAAGATAGTTTCTTCCAGATAACAAATACGGTCAGTACCTGAATTTCCTTTCGTAATAGGTCTTAGTAGAGCCAAAAAAAAGGCTCAAGTAAATTACTATTGATTACAAAACTACAAATATAAATGTTGTCAAACTCATTCACTTAGGTAATAATAAAGTAAATTACAAGCAAAATATCTTTGTGTTGGAAGGAGGGGGGGATTAAAATAATGCTTTATCCTTACAATCTTAATACTTTTTCTTTCATCATTAGCCTCCAAACACAGAATCTCATATAAATAAAGTTGCTATTTAGAATTTCAGGAATCGAAATATATATCCAATGCCATTAGCCCTGAGCATACCATGGACATTCAGAAGATAATTTTGCTCAGTCTGTAAATGACAGACATATATAGAAGTGCACGTCATCAAGAAATGCTGAAGGTAGGAAAAGCATACCATCTTCATCCATGCTATCTGTCTCCTCTTCCTCATGAAATCGTTTAAGAATATCTAGCATTTTTTGTTTAGTTTCATTATCAGATTGCAGCTGCTGCAGTTCTTCAACAACATTCTCTTTCATAAAGGATTCAGTGCACCGAAGACTATGAGACTGCCAAAGTACCAAACATAAATCACAAAAAAGGAAAGGCAAATGCCAATAATGTGTAAAGTTTAACATTTTTATGTATTGCACCATTAACCATTTCAAAGGAGGAACTTCTGAATAACTGTATTATGAGTGAGTTTATGTGATTAAAGCTTGGGAACTGTGGCTTTCAATTCACCAATATATGATAGTTTTACCGTCCTCATTGAGTTTGGTTACTCAAAAACAAATACTCACCTTATAACAGTGAAGAGAGCAATATCGAATGTTGCAACGTGGGCAAGTATATTGAGAAAACTGCTTCTCACATCTGCATCATATTTTAGTAAAATTAGCAAAAATCAAACTGCTCCCATCACAGTAGTAGCAGCCCAAAATCGGGGATGACTACATCTGCACCTCACTCTATATCTCTCTTTTATACACGCGCGCATGAATATCTTCAGATACAAGTAAGTAATTTAGATATGCAGTATGGCCAATAAGAAAAAAATCATCAAAATAAATACCATATAAAGGAAGCTAAGGAGAAACAAATTAAAAAAAAAAAAAAGATAAGTAAATTGTTTTCAACTAAAAAATTCCTATGTAGAGACAAAAAGCATACACCTAGCACTTATTCGCAAGATTCCAAACCCACCAAAACATTCCAAGCAATTGAGTTTACATAAAACTCAAGTAAATCCAGTTCATTTACATACTAAATGCAATGTTAAAATCAAAAGAAGTTATTAGCTAAAAGAAAATTAAAGAACAACACAGTTGAATAGCAGTTAAATGACAGCTTACACGCGGCAGATTGTGTGCGACGGATGGTTGAATTGTGTTGACGTGGAAGCTGCCTCCGAAGTGATAACAGTCTCCGACATTGGGAAAATTAATTCAGTCCTGAAATAAAGACTAATATCAATATGTGAGCCGAGAATTTTGGGGCAATTGGAGCTTTTCCAATAGCAGAGAAGCCCTAATTTTGCTAATGAAGCTTAATAGAAATACTGTTTTTTCAAGCGTATTCGAATTCACTCGAACATTTGAAAAATAGCACTAATTGAGGAAAAATCTAGGTTGGCAACCAGAACCAAATTGAACCTAATTGGCTCAGGATTGAGTTGGGTTGGTTTTTGCCCTAATCCCAACCCAAGCCGTGTAGTCCGTTTAGATTTGGGCCCAAAACGTGGGGCTGTGAATTTGGCAGGCAATGACCACTACAACAACCTCGTTGATGCTCTCCTCCTCAAAGGTTTGACTAGCCATGTAATTTAACAAAAATGGGCAGTAGGACAAAGATAGAATGATAAAACTCAATTTTTTAGCAATAAATTCATGTCTGAGTTAACATTAAATTATTAAGGAAGCAACTTCCTCATTTCTCATGCTTCAATCTTTGTCCATAGGAATCCAGCCATTAGTGACTGTAAATCATTAACAAACACTAACAAGATTACAGAGATTTTATGAAGATAAGCACAAGCACTAATGCATTTTAGAAGGAAGCTGGAGCAGAAAACTGTTTGTCCATAGGAATCCATTCAACAGCCAGAAAGCTGTTGGCAGAAGGAATCCAACCATTGTAATCAACTTGTACATATCAAAAACTCGAGCTAATTCCAGTTACTTTGGTAACAGACAAGAAAAGGCCGAAATTTTATATTTTTAGGTCCAACACCCCGAGTTTCGGTCTTGTTCCCTCCACCACAAAACTCGAATTTCAGCCAGATGCAGTCTCACGAAATTCCCGATACAATTTTCTGGAAAGCAATAAAAAATAATGGAGAAGAAAAAAAATTCTAAAAGAGTTAAAGCTTAAATAGCCTACCTCGGAGCAATGAAGTTCCCAATTATTGAGGGCAGGTATTTGGAGACGAGTAGAACAGTGGGAGAAACTTCGAGCGAGAGAGGGGATGAGATGGGATATAAAGTTCAGGTAATGATTTTAATTTTTTTCTTTTTGGTTCAAATATTTGTTTTGGGCTTAGGCGGCTATGGATTTTGGACACGGGCTGATGTCATTTTATAGACAGGCTGTAGTTTAATATGGACACTTACATATAGAAACCAGAATGCAAAAAATAAAACATTAAATCTGTTGCAGCAAGCCAGAGTGGAGCCACTAAGCCAGGATATTCGTTCAATGCGGGCACAAATTTTCTTGACGCCGAACGTCAAGTTTTTCGTTTATGAATTTAATGATAATAAAAATATAAAACAATATTACAACAATACTGAGTACATCCTTAGTCCATATCAGTTGGAAGTTTTGTGACATCAAATTCCACATTATTCGATATCCCCCATCAACATTTTCTAAAAAACAAATCTCTTCATTTGATATCTGGATTTAAACAGTTGATATCCAATTACTACTGGGAGTAATTCAGAATGACAAAAACAGAATAAAAAATATACTGAAAGCAAAAGCAAAGCAATTCACACTTCACATGGAAATACTATAAGCAATTCACATTCACAGGGCAATACTATTTCCAGAATTCTCGCTTCACAAATCACAATTTACAATTCTCAGTGCAATTCACAATTTCACAGGGCATTAGGGCAATACTATTTCCAGAACTTGTGCAATTCACACTTTACAAATCATAGTGACAGAGTAATTAAAGCAACTCACAGTTACAATTTACAAAGGCAGCAAGTTGACCAGCAACACTTACACTGGAAGGAACTGGAATTCTGTCCGGACTCTGGTAGCAAAATCAATTGAATAGCAATCAGCAGAGCAATGTACAGGCAGGCTGCAGTACTTGTTTCGAAGAGCAAAGTGCTATTTTCATATGTTCAAAAGAAAAAAATCAAACATTATTACAATTTACACAAATCAAGATAACAAAGAATAAGAAAAGAAAAACCAGTGTCGTGTTCGGTTTCACCTTCTTCTTCAGTTCTTCTGCTGCTGCCGAAGAATCGCTTGCTTCTACTGCTGCCGTAACCCGTGAGTGCCGTCTACGGTCTAGTCGTCTAGGGCTCGAACAAACAACAAACAGGGACGGAGAGCAGAGGAGGAGGCAGAGACAGCATCTGTGGAGCCAGGACTGGAAGAAGTAGGCAGCGACGATGGCGATGGAGGCTGAGTGGATTGATTGGTTGAATTGAAATGGATGGAATGGGTTGAAACTTATGGAATAATCATGAATGGTAATTATGTATTGGGCCACGTAATGGGCCTTACTTTTTGGCTGGGCTTGGGCATTTGGAGAGTTAAAAAATAGAGGAAATTAGGCCCGATGCTCTAAAAAGTGACTCAATTAGATTAAAACCCTAAATTAATTAAACATAACGTAAACCCCGTAATAATTACTGCAACCTATGTGCCACAGCCAAGTACCCTTTTCTACCACTTTGCATTCTTTAAATTTACCAAATCAATATAATGCACCTATAGATACAGCGTGAGAATGAGCAGAGAGATGGCTAATTCAACACCTAATCAGAAGTATCCATCGACGATGTCATACACGGTGGAGCAACTCGTTGTCGTCAACCCTTACAACCCAAACATCCTTCTAGATCTCGAAAACTATGTGAATGAACAAGTCTCTCCTCAAACATATAGTTTGAGTGCAAATCAATGCCTTCTTCATATCTACCAATTCGAGCCAGAGAGAACGAGTACTCAAATTGTTGCCTATATTTTGATCAAGGCTTCTTCTACCAACCATGAGAGACATTTTCACGGCGGATTCCCACTATAGATGGCCAGATAAGTAACTTCTGCAGGTTCATCAAAATGTGCACACCAAGTGTTCGATATATTGATTCATCTAATTCCATATGACAATAGGGTTAGAAAGATTCTTCCAAAGTGATTTCTCAAGAATGTGTTGAATATAATATATGGCAAGAAAATGAAAAAAGACGTTACTTACTTGCTATCACGCTAGTCTCTGTTTATTTTCTTAATTTTAAGCCAGTTTGTGCCAATTTATTAGAGATGGGGAGAGTTGGAAGATTGAAAACGAGAATAAGAAATTAGTCATCGTGTAATTCTTTATTTTGATATATTTTGAGGCAAGATTTGCTCAAGGATTCGTTCGAGAGTTTGGGTATTTCATTTCTTCAGCAATTTGAGCCTTTGATATTCGATTAGTGGCAGAAAGATCCCAAGTTGTCGCTATCCATTGTGGTACTTCTGATGGCTTGAGGAGGGATCGAGAGTTAATGGGAAGAACTTAGTAGCATTTGAAGATGGTTTCATTTTTGGATCAATTGGCCATGTCAATTCTGTGTTAGGTTTGGTAGTTTTATGTGCTGGGTTGATGAATCCTTAGCTCTTTACTGATTGATAAAGTCATGACTTGTAATTTATCTATTCATCAATTTTTGCAACAAATATATGGGAAGAGTAGAAAATGTTTAATTATTGATGATTTTCTAAGTTTGAAGCTAGTCCACTGCACACTAATGAGTTGTAGTTGACGTAAATGTCTACAATATTAACTAGCAAGAGAAATTTGCAGTTGTTCACCCTCTAGTGAAGTGCATTTATTATATGTTACTTCATTCTGGTATCAAAAGAAATTTTCTTCCTCAATAACGAGTATTTATATTTGTAATGACTGTATTTGCATTGAATTAATTTTATGGAGGTAGTTGTTGGGCATTTTCAGTTGTAGTTTGGATTGAATTTGCATAAAATGATATATTTTAAGGTTTTGATCAATGTTTCGTCATTTTTTTGATTGTTTGTCACTTTTTTATTTTCTGTCAATTTTTTTTTTAATTTGTGTCATTTTTTAAAATTCGTCACTTTTTAAAATTTTCATCACTTTTTTTAATCTTTTTTTTTTTTTTAGTATTTGTCACTTTTTTATCAATTGTGTTCTTGAAATTTCCATCACTTTTTTTAGTGACAAATATTACATTTTAATATAAAGTGACATTGTATGTCATTTTTTAATAAAAATGTGACACTAAACCGTCAAAACTGACACTGTCATTTTTTGACATTTTGTCACCTTTTAAATTTTTGTCACTTATTTAATCAGATAAAAAGAGACATGATATGTTATATTTTCCTAACATAATCAGCATGTGAATTATTCTGGACATGCTGATTATGTTAAGAATCGTCACTACGCTCATGTAGATAGTCCTGATATGCTAATTATGTTAAGAATATGATTATTGGTGCTGCAAAAATAGATGATGCTATCTTTGTGTTTGCTATTTTTTTGAGTTTGTATCATTTTTATTTTTTATTTTTTGAATTTCGTCACTTTTTAAGCGTTTGTGTCAGTTTTTTTTTTTTTTTTTTTTAAAAAAATAAAAAAAAAAAAAAAAAGTGATATTGTGTCGCCTTTTCATTTTACACAATATTTTTTACTTCCAAAAAATTTTTATATGATTTTTCAAAACACCTCTAATTTTAAAAGTATATATACACACACATATAAATAAAAAATTGGGCATTTGTGATGAGCGGCCCAGAAGTTCAGTGTGGGCCTCTGCCTGCACTGGACTTCATTGGGCTCCAACGATGAAGAATGATTCAACGGACATTTGAATTGAATCTTTTAAGCACTCTATGACCACTCCCATTAAAGCATTTCGATGAAATAAACAGAACTGAAGATTATGGAAACATCTTTTCATGTAGCTTTCTCAATAACAGTGCATCCAACATTCAACAGAACTGAAGGGTTAGGTCATAAATTTTAGTTGTGAGCAATCTTAGCTAATCTTCAGATATCGTGAATCATATGGAAAAGAATGATGTAAATCACAGGCGATGTTGATTTTGAAGAAGAATGATAGAGAGTGAACAGAGTTTTTTGTAGAATATTTACGGCTGAAATTTAGGGGATGAAATTGTGCCAAAATATGGGTATGTGGGATTAAATTGATTTGGAGTCATCAACGGTTATCAGTAGATTGTGGAGTTAATCATATTTTCCAGTAATCTTAGAAATATGATTCTTGTTTGGTAAATTTTATTTGGTTATAAACAAGGTTTTAAAATGTATAATGCGTGATAATGAGTTATTATCGAGTATCAAACATTATAAACATATGCGTGCCTATGAAAGCATATGCATAATTATGCATTTTTCAATTTTAATATTTTAAATATTCTAAACTAATAAATAAATAAAATAATTTATTCTTTGAACTTTGTACATATTTATCAAATTAAAAAAAAAAAAAGACCATATTGCTTCAAATTTTAAGTACTACAATTACTTGAACTTTAAACATAATCTTCAAATTTTCAGTAAAAACATATTGCTCAAAAATCATAAATACTACAATAACTTGATAATCAGTGCATGCAATTAAATTAGACATGTTCACTAGCTTAAAAATCTTAAATCTTGTCTAACTAATTATTGGTTCCAATTTAATCTCAACTTCTTCATCCAAGTCATCTTGCATGTCATTCGTTGCAAAATCATCTTCACCAGATTCCCTTATTTCAATTCGTGAAGTTCTATTACCCTTTTTAGATGGTAAGATGTCATTATCAACGTCATCCTTGAAATCCCAGCCATTAACGATCTACAATTGTGCATTATTAACATCACTGCGAGTAGGCAGACCACAGAAGAAGGAGGCTCGAGCTTCACATAGATAATTTGCGACTTTATGAGATTTAATAATTTTTTAAATGTCAAAATCCTATAGATTATTGTATATAATTTGTGGGCTTGAAAAATTTGGGCTAATTTGATGTTTATTGGGCTCAATTTGTTTCCTTTTTTCCGAAGTTATAAAAATGAGTTGGACTTTGCTAAGCTAATTTTGACACAATTTTTAACATAAATGCGTGCACATTTTGACGTTTAAAAGTGCATATACGATCAATGAAATGGGTTGACCGCATTATCACATACACACCCAATATGGGAGATGTTTTGAAAAAGGGGAAAAATTCATATTTAAGGTGTATTGTTTACACCAATTCACAAATGAGGTACAAAGTTTAAAAATTCAAAATTCAGGTTTCTATATAATTAATTGAAAATATTTATTAATTAAATATAATAAAGTTACAGTTACACGATTAATGGTCACAAATTCATAATTATTGGTCACAGATTTACTTATTGGTCATAGATCATCGAATTAATTGGTTACAGATTATTTCGAGATCACAAATAAAAAAATTTCGAGGTCACAAATTATTTAGAAGTCACGGATCATTCAAATTACAGGTCACAGTTT